CAGCACGTAAATGACAGGTTTATTGATTTAGCGGTGTTGTTTGCGTTGGGCAGCATAACATTATTTGCCTCAAACAATTAATGTATTAAGGCCCATTTACACGGTGCCAGTTTCTTGCCTGTTGTATACAATTAAATTGAAGCAATAAATGAGTTGCATAGTCTAATAAACAACAAATGGTCTTAACAATTATTGCGCGCAATTTATTGCATTCAATTATTGCTCTTGTATGTACAAGAAAATGGCATCGTGTAAATGGGCCTTAATTGTTGCAATCATAAAATTTTTCCACCATTAGGCGCAGGATCTGTTGATCAATATTGGACTGAATCTTCCATGGCTCAGACATAATGATTTTAAGTGTTAAGATTTATTACTGTTTATTAAAACAAAAGAAAACAGAGATTTTAATAATGCTCTTTTTAGGTAACTTTTATTTTATGTTCTTTTATGCTTCACTTCGACGGTATGTTACGTATCTTCGTACGTACGTATGAAAGGGTAATGTTTTTCGTGCGTATGTGTGTAAGTATGTCTATTTCTCAAACTCAATCAAATACACTTTAGAATGAATATGCATAATAATCTAGGACTTATGTCGCCTGCGAAAGTGAAGCATTATCGCTTTAGCTGTTACCGATACAGCAAGGGAAATATACATGGACCCTGGGACTGTAGACGAAACTATCCAATATAAGATCGAAGATGTCACGTAGAGCGAACTATAAACAAAACAAAATAGTTTTGTATCATTAAAATGGACTACCGTTGAACAAGGTCTATGATGCTCAATGTCTGCTGATGTTACCGTTACATGCAAACGAGTGATCATACAATACAATCACACATTCATACATCGAACACAGTGGAACTGAATAAGAAAATTAGACACGGTCGCAGTACGAAGGGTTGGTTGGTTGGATGCCGACATTTGGCGCAATGGGGCCGAGCTGTGGTCACACGCAATTTAGTGTTATAACGTTGATCGCTAATTGATTACACGTAAGTGTTACGTCAGGCGTATTATGCGACGGGATATAGTATCGATGCACGTGTGACGAGGGTTATCGGTTTTTTTTCCTAATGGCGATAACATTATGGCCATGATGTGTATGGGAATGCACTAAATGGTCTCCAACTTGATTACAAAGAGAAATAGCATATATTTCTTATGATCTAATTGGTCTTAAAGCGTCTTGTAAATATTTTACTTGCAGAAAATAATTCTTGTTAAAGATATGAGATTAAAATTAGTAGTAGGTATAAAGTAATGTAGGTAGGTAGGCTAAAATATGGAAACATTAGTTATTGTGTTTCCATATTTTAGAGTCATGATGGAAAAGCATAATCACATAATAGCTCAAGAGTGAGTGATATTGATATAATAATCTCGTTAGACGGATGTTTTATAAAATGTAAAATTTTACTTTATTAATGTATTTTGTACGTATTATGTATTGGAAAACACAAATCATCACTTATTAAAGAAGAGGCAATGGAGACGAATAACGGAATGGAATATAATTGCCTATACTCGTGTCCGTTATTCGTCTCCATTAATGTTAATTTTCACAGAGGGCCCACGCGGGATCATTAATTAAATCGATCTATTATAAAAGTGATATCGAGATATAACCGTGAACCCTTAATCGATAATTACAAAACTATATTACGTTCAGGCGGAACTAATCGGGCGGTTGCTACTTGCATATAACAATGTCGGCAGTCAATAGCGCTCAGCGGGTCGCCACGCCGACAACTGGGGTCATCACACACAATACCGTGACGTTTACCGACGTGTCGAAAGCGTGCATTCAAGAGCGTCACCGAAAAAAATATCGATTTCCGTAAATAAGTGAGTGTGGCGCATTTATAATAATGATGAATGGAGTCGTACGTCGTGCGCGGACCGATATTGTGTGTCGAATCGTACGACCGCTCTATCGTGACGCCACTGCGATATTCATCGATCGCTAATTGAAAAGGAATTATTGTCTCGCGTTCTGCCATAAATCTAACGTAAACCGGGGCGTAATCGATGTCTCGTCGCGGTCTCGATTTAAGATCTGTGTACGGTCATAAATTACATTTTTCCATTCAGTCCTTCGCTAAAAGTCTTTGGTTAAACAAATTCCGAATTCCTTGGCACTATAATTTATGTTGACGTCTCCGAAGGTTCTATTGCAATTTTAAGAATTATTTCACCGTTTGCATCACTGGAACCTTTTGCTTTTAACGGGGAGGATATCCAGGAAAGAGGCGAAACGAACGCTAGAAAGATGAAGAGAAACAACTGTCAAGACAAAATAGTTGCTGAAATAGAATAATCACTTATGTTCGTTACAATGAAATTTTAGGTACTCACAAAGCGATTTGTATACCAGCGCGCGATGTGTACACAAACTGAAATGTTTCTAACGAGAATATTCATAAACGGCGGCGCGCAATCAGCGGCCGGGCAATTTGCGAGTGATTGTCCGTAGCGAGACGCGGTCTGCGCAAATTGGAAGAGAACTCACGCTCGAAATCGAACTATTTGGAGCGCGGAAGAGCCGTATCCTGCTTAATATTTACAGATTTGTGTGTAATTTATACACGCGAATCCTACTCTCACATTGCTTCTTTCGAGAGATATTAATGTTGATTATCATAACGGTCCTTCCTAACATTATAAAAAAAGGCAGATGGCTTCCCCGTTATTACTTTTCAAATTCATTCCTACAAAATCGTAGTAATTTGGCGTCTAAAGCAATTTGCCGTCATACAAAATAATTCCTTCACCGGAGAATATTAGATGAAAGGAAAATTGCAGTCGCAAAAAGCTTGAACAACGATACGGATTGCGTTCGCTTTCTTATGCCATCCGAGGCTGCACATCGCGCGGGAAAATTCATGTCTGTTCCCATCCGAATGAACATTGAAAGAGGATAAAGCGTACGAATATATTTCGTAGTAATGGAGAGAATTTCGCATCAATTTTCTAAATAAAGGCGCACGGGAGCCAGCGGACGGAACAAAGCGCGGTCGCTCACGACATAGATTGAGCTGAATTATCGCTTTACCGCAGAACGCAATCTGCACCGTGCGCGGTACGTGTTGGACGTATCGCAGCGGTATCACCGCGCCGCCCTTACCGCCTAGCGCACTCAACCTCCGCGAGATAGCGCGCGTGAATTATGCTAAATCTGGCCCATCTCTCACACCGTTTATCAATTGGCCGCGCATCTGCATCCCTGGTGTGCGCCACCTAAATCCACCGGTGTTTATCGCTCATTCCCATTTCACATTATTCTCGATTAACCATTGAGTATCGCAGAAAGCAAAGATACTACAGTTTAATGGTAGCGATGCCAATTTCCCTGAAAAAGTTGTGGCATTTTTAAAATATTTGTACCAGTGACAAATTATGACACAATATTGTGTGTATTTACTAGCTGTGCCCGCGACTTCGTCCGCGTGAAATTTAAAATAAATAAAATTTCTAAAATAAAAGCAGCCAATGTTTCTCCTTATTACATCTGCTGTTTACCACTGAAAGTCCTGTCAAAATCGGTCCCGCCGTTTTTACCTACGAGTTCGTACACGTAGTTTCGGTACAGTTATGAGCATGGGTTAGGAGGATATGTAACTCATGTTCATAACTGTACAGAAGACCACCTTCAAGCCGCCAACGCATCAAACTTTGTTCAGAAAACCCATGGACGGCGTTGATCAATTACTATTACTTAAATAGCTTGCAAATGACAAGTGCGGAAATTGGGCCCCACTCTCTTAAGTGGATATTGCAACTGCAAACCCAATGGTATCGTGATTGTCTATGTGCGGCAGTTATCACTTAACATCACATTAAAAGAAATAATAAAAAAACTTCAAACAGTACGTATACGCATAATCCCCTTTCAATCAACCTGATGTAAGATGTGTAGACAAAAATTAGGCGGTCAACGACATTTGCCCGCGATAAAAGCGTCCGCTCGCAAACTACCGCCAAATTGGGCGAAAGTACGAAGTTATTCTTCTTTCATATCACAAATTACCGTAATATCTGTTACGAATAATGAGACGGGCATCAAACGGTGGCCCATTGTGATTTGCATGTCACAGGTTTCGTTTCGTGCGTGCGTGCCCGTACGCATTACGCCGTAACGCCATTCCGCCTGTCAACTGGTTTCATAAAAACGAAATTATAGTGCAATCAAGCACCTAAACACAATCTGTTACGGCATCTCTTAAGAAAACGGAAGCGTCGAGGTGCCTATCGCGCAGTGCAGGAAATAATAAGTTGGAATCTTGACTTATCATAATTTGAATTGAACAAGCGATTACTACATTGATTACGGGTGACGGATTTATATGCTTGTACGTATATAAATAGAATAATTTCATTTAAAATGAATGAATGAATGAATATTTTATTTAGTTTCAACAACAAACACAGTTATGTTAACAATTAAAAGAATATATATCTAAGACATGAAACCAAATAGGTATGTACTCGGTACGATTTCCCGATTTTCAGTACATACCAAAAATTTTAATTATAAATAACAAACTAGACTAAGATTAACACAAAATGTGTGAAAGGTTTGTTTTAATGTTTCTTCGGTTCGTAAATATTATTTGTCTTTATTTCAACCAAAAAAGTGGCCAGTGCGTGACTGTATAATAATATAATAACACTACACGACATGCAGTAACAACGAATTCTTAGGTTTTAAACGTGCTATACAAAACCTGGTCACTCCTGCTTTGACATCCACTATTTCAATAAAACCCAGTTAACACTTTCTAATGAAATGATTTTGCCAATTTGCGTTAAAATATAAGCTTCTGTCTTTACCGACTTCTAACGTATATGCGTCACCTCTTCCATGTATACAGAATAATTTAGAACTCCTGTTGGCTACTGAACTCCTAATTTCAAAAAAGGTAGAATTAGATATTTGGACAGTGTCAAAGTCAATATCAGTATTTCCTATCTACAACTTAGTCGAGCTCTTATGAACGCTGAAAACTACCACCACGTCATGCACGAATGCCCAACGTGGAGTCAAAACTCGATCATCAGATCACGCGGTCAGCCCTCGCACATCGACCGACTAGTTGCAGCCATCGTCGAGCGCATTTGTTACCGTAACAACATTAAGCTGAGACCTCAGCTCGCCGCAAACAGAGCCCAGTTGACAGCGGCCATCTACTGTTCCAGTAGCGTGTCTAACGCGACACCTGCGCCCTCGCCTCTAATGGACTCTAATGGGCCCAGGCTCTGTCTTACATTAATACCGTGACGGATTCGAGTTATTCTCGTCCTTACAAGTCAACCGCGTTATTACCCGCTCAAATCATCGGCTAACTCACTTAATGCGCGTGCATCAGAAGTTTGAGTATTTCCAACCGGGTGACCCGACTGCAATTGCTTAGTTTGAAACGGTGTCCAGATTTCCTTTGAACAAGGGCAGGTTATTCGTTTTTATTAGCAGAGTTGGACATTTATTGTATGCGTCTATCAGCGGCGAACCTGACACCATTAAGTGATCCATTTGCTCAGTTGCAAATCCTGTGTAATAAACAAAACCTCTTTTTATTTACTGTGTAAATTTTCCAAGGAATTTCATACCAAGGTGCTATATCTTAAATAATAAATTGACATTTGATTTACATTTTTTAATAAATAACATATAAAAAAACGTTACTAGTGACTTATTCTGCAACTTGTCGATTATGTTATTTTAAGGAAACAAAAGAATGGAAAGATCGTTAAAACGAATTACACAAGTGGTTAAAAGCACCTTTTTAATGACGTTTATCTTTTTCTTGTATTAATATTAATTTATTTGCTCGGTCTGAAAAGTTGCGTCAATATGTCTCACAATGAAAGTTATGGTTTAAAAAAATGAACAACCATTAGTTTACCTTTTTGATATACGTTAATAAGATATTCACTTGTAAGAGGACATTATGAATTTTTATAGATACAGTGAAGTAGAAAAGAAATAAACAAAATTTTGTATTTGAATAATTTTGCGAATGAACATTAAAATAAAAAATAAAAATATTTAATAACATTTGCTAACAAGTTACATAATAAGGCCTTATTCGACTATACTACACATTATTAAATAAGTCTATTTTTTATTTTATTTATTACGAGTTTATTTTAACCTTAATTTCCTGCCGTTTAAAAACTTTGCAACTTTTATGGTCCCGGGATGTGAAACGTTAGACGTCCGAATGTCACATAATTAACCCGGGCTACAGTTTAAATTTTTAAAATGATACACTATATGTCCGCTCTTGTAGGAAGTGTTCCAAACATAAGGAATTAAATTTTTATATAAACTCAATAAATTCATGTTAATAGTTTTGTTAAATAATGTAAAATGTGAATCTAAACGATATAAAATACCGCGTGATATTTTATGTACCTATATATGTATATTAAGATAGTAACCTTATATCGTACAGTGGGCAGATACATAAGATTCATTAAGATCATGAGAATCTTACACCTACAAAAAAATGAAATTCATCGGCATTAGGATTCAATCTCATGTTATAAAAGTATCCTTTATCCGTTCTAATGTGGGCACATTTGAATAGGAACTTTTACTTGTCATGCATCTATAAGCTTTTTCAATAATTGAAAAATTGTTGGTAACAATATTTGATGAAAGTGGGCTGTTTTTAAATAATAAAAATCAAAAGTTATTGATAGATTCTTCTATAAAAACTTTAATGTTGTTAAACGGGTAATTATTTCACTATTATCATTTAAAAACTTCGATTTCAATAGTACACTTTAAGAGTATGTCACCGAAATAGCCGATTACAGATGATTAAAAAAGTTTCGCCTATATTACTGTGCATTTCTTTGAAAAGATCTCTCGCGAAAATTACCCATTACACTAACGCCGAGCAACATCTAAAAAACCTCCGCACGAGAGGATAAACGAGGAGGGAGCCTCAGCTCATTTAAAAACGTAATCTGCCGGCGTCAAAGAGCGGCGAGATCATCGAACAGTGCATATCTAACTACAGCTTCATACGGCGCGTTATCATCGCCGTATAATGAGTTATGGGACGATTCAGATGCTCGTTTTGTGCCCGTCACGAGGTATCGGAGAAGGGCGCCATCCATCATCCGACGCCACTAATTGCCGGCTACCTTGCTTCGGCTCCCTTATCCTTTTAATTCGTCCTCCGTCGACCTATATGACGCCGAGGTTAGCTGTTACATATAATTGCCTCAGATACAGCCTCGATTGCCCCGCCAGGAACCGAACAAAAAGCGCGGTGCATTTGTTGTCTGCGTAATATAAATATCGCAATCTAATCTCAAGGTGATCTTAACCGCGTAGACGGAAAATTACATTGTGTTACACTGTTTGCGACTAATGTCATACATTTATTTATAGAAATTTCTTAAAGTAGGTTCATAGAGATTTAAGGAATCGTGTTGGTTCGCAATCGAAGAAGTTGACATATGTCACGTTGAGACGGTGTACTTATATCAAGTTTTCGATGGCGCAATTCTCTTTAAAATTTCCGTCGTTTTGAAATTAGTTAATGTCCTGAGGTGAAAAATGTACGTCCGCACATAAGGTTCGTAGCGGTCCGTTGAGAAGCAACAGTGATAATGCAGTTCGAAAATGGTGTACCACCGAATAGTACATTCGGTGGTACACCATTTTCGCACAATAGCACATTCAATAGCCATCACTAGCATTCGACTAATCTCGAAATCGGATTGCCGTAGGTGGATAGTCACGAACATCGCCCGTTGGCAAATAAAAATAAGCCGGGGACAGAGCGCTCCATCAAAAGGGGTAGCTCGATTAAGTGTTAGTTCCAGTTTTATTTGCTGCGGGGGGACGGGTTAGGGCCCGGGGGGACGTGTGAGCGCGGCGCCGCATTAATCATTAACGCAGCCTGCCTAATGACACCACCGAAATGGGATGGCCAGTGATGTAACCGCTGATTATCGATGAACCCATGTAAAGTTGTCTAATCGCGCGATTATCGTACAGACATTGAATGCTTTTTAGAATACTGAATATTCCTTACACCGTCTCTATACAAAACACTGATTGATTGGTTGATTATTTCATCGATTAAAAACTACGCAAAAATACTTGAGCTGTGCTATAGAATTTTATAACCATAAAAATTTTATAAAATTTACAGATAATAATTAATAACAACAAGTGTGAAGCGTGAGCCATGATTCTGCCACGAATGGGCAGGATCATCCGGGGAAATACCGCAATCTCACAGAAGACCAGCGTGAAGTGAGAATTATATAATCAAGAGTTATATCACCAGGGCCAACTGTTTTAAATGTTGGAATGTACCTACAAGAACAACTTAATATCAGGTGAACCGATTTGCCACTTTCCAATTAGAAAGACACCACTTCCCATTCGACACAAATTGTATAAATTCATGTGGCTCTTGCGTTAATTGTTCGTTAAGATACTATTTTCGGTGATAAAAGATAGTAAGGTGGATAAGTAAAAATAGACAGATTAAACAAAAATTTTAACAACACCAAATTCACAATTGGATTTAAAATACAGGGTTTTTTATCCAGTAGGACGTCTCAGACCCTCATAACTTGCTCGAACTCATTATAAATAGCTAGCAGAAAGTGGCAAAGAGCTGCGGTGTTTGACTTGTCTTTTGACATATCGACATATTTTCAACACCTTGGTGTTAATCACATATAAACACACATACATAAATTTCTACATCTCATTTCTATATGCTTTTCAAAAAATACAGTTCAATTTTGTTTACTTGTGTATACCAGGTATTGTTTACGCACAATATGTTATCTGGGTTTATCAACACTTATAGGTACACAGTACCTACTCTTTATTTTAAAGCACTAAACGGATTTAGTACATTATAAACTTAAATGTGTTGACAAATAACCATACCATTTTATGAAAAATTTATTTGATTATTATGTGGCCTTTTTCATTATATTTCATAAAAGTAAAAAGTATTTTATTCACATACAATATCGATATACTAGAATGCTATTGTTCCAACACTACAGCAGATATTAGATGTCGCTATTAACTCCGCAAAACGTAATTAATTGAATAAGTTTATGATTGATATAACCAGTTTGCGGGGCGCTTAATTCACTTTCCCAATTTCTAAGGCCCAAGACGCTTTTATAAAGTTACATCCTTTAAGGAAATTGATTGGTTCTATTGCTACGTAACAGATTTCGCAATGATTCAATTACAATTAGCAACGCTCACTATTGCATTCAAGGTAGCGTAAATAACAACTTAAATTAAAAGCAATTTGTAAGTTTATGTTATAACATATGCCAAATGATCTTTTGTTATTTTAATTTCTAATTGCGTAAGTCGTCTCTACTTTTTACCATTCTCATACCGGAGCGTGACTAATGCAGTAAATTGGAAATTTCCAAATGGTATTTCTCGACTTACATAGATACAAAGATTGAGCAAATTTATATAGTATGTAAATTCGTTCAGCTTACGAGTACATTACCAATGTTACACTTTTTTTCGACCTCGCGTTGTATATGTTGCTGATTAGCAGAGAATTATTAAAAAAGTTTGGACTAAAAGGGACATTTTTCTACGATATTATTCGGTATCTGACAAGACTATGAGTAGGTTTTACCTAAGTTCCTTAAGTACCCCAATATATTTACTAAAAAACTCTAAAATGGAAAAAGTAACCTATTCTATGAGATAACAAGAAAGTACGTGAAAATACTTTACTCGCAATATTTTTTTTAAATATACTGGTACAATATATTCTCGCAAAATAGATTCGATAATTTATAAATAGTGGTGGGTGCGATATAAATAAGATCTCAATTTTTAATGACCTAACCTTACCTAACTTTACATGTTTACATGGTCGATATCATAGTCAAAACTCCTCGTGTTTTTTGTGTGGACTGTAGAGATGAGGAATAGTATCTCAATGTAGGTATATAGAATGCCCATAAATTGAAGTACACTAAAGCGTTATTTTAACATAAGTTCTATATTTTAAAGAATGTACAAGACAAAAGTTATTGGAACAGAACAAAAACAACTCAACTGACTAGCAAAACATACACATATTTTTAACATTTATTAACAACCTAGCGTACCTAAGTAGATGTTTTAATATCAACGAAACAAACTGGTAATTTACTCTTGGCAATATCAATTTAAAAAAATTACCGGTGATTATTTACCAATTTTATTATGGCGGCATAATGGATAGGTAAGGAACCCTCGGCGTACGA